CCAGTACAGAGGGCATTGGATACCTCAGATTGGTTTTGTTTCTTTAATACCTTCCCACAGTCATGTCTTGCCTAGCATCAACACTTAAGACAGAAGCAAACCCCTAAGGATTATTCATTGCAGGCTCTTTTTGGATGGTTCTGAACCACAACCTTGAGTGATTACGTGATTGTATCATCAAAATTGTGTTATTATAATTGCCATTCATGGCCAATCAATGTAAACTTGGTCTTCTTTTCTGCAGGTTGAAAATGGTCTCCGGGATGATCTTGGCCATGCTGTCTGGCCCACTGTTTTGGGTGGCACTTGGATGGACTTCAGCATTTGCTTATAGTCCACGGACCCCTGACCGAGTCTCAGAAACAGATATCCAGAGGCTGCTCCATGGTGTTATGGAGCAGCTGGGCATTGCTAGGCCACGGGTGGAATATCCAGCTCACCAAGCCATGAATCTTGTTGGCCCACAAAGCATTGAAGGTATTTACTGTTTCTGTTGGTTTAAAGTTTCCATTAGCATTTAGGATAATATATGCATTTTTAAGAGACTCTACTTCCTCTTTCTGTTTTCCTTTTCTTATTATTTTACAAACTGGTTAAATATATATATATATACACACATACATACACACACACACATCCAGGCACACACTCACAGGAGAATAGAAGTCCTGCGAGAGCAGGAATCTTATTACCTAATTCACAACTGCTGTGGTCCTAGCTTAGCAGAAAGACTGGTACATAGTAGGTGCTTAATTAATATTTGTTGAATGTATGAAAAAGTCTCTAAGGTTATACCCTTTTTAAAAATTTTTCTGTTTAAATTTGCTGGAGAGCACATGCACTTTCCAGAGAGAGACAAAAGCACCTCCCATGAGCCATGGTCATGCTACAATTCCTTCTTTTCCATTTCTCCCTCCTTTTGAGATTTTGGGCACTCACACACATAAGCCGGACATGATTTTCAAGTCACCAGGTCCAGGACTTGAACCATGCAATTAGTCAGGTGCACTCCAACTGCCTTAACCACCAGGCCTCTGGCTGACTCTAGTGTTATTCCTAAAGAAAGATTAGAACCAAGACCTGACTTTTCTCTCACTGCTGATCTTGGAGAAATTGTGTCCCCAGATAGCTGCCTCTTTGAATCAATACCATCCAACACTTATAAAAAAGCCTCAAAATTCAGGACCTACAGAATCCGGTTTGATTTTTTATGGAATACACCCAATAGGAGCCAAAAGAGATACTAACATTAGAAGTTTATTTTAAAAAAAGGTTAAATATTTACAAATACCGTGCTTGCTTCAGCATTTACTAAAGGCATACACATATACTAAAATATGAACGATTCAGAGAAGATCAGCATGGCCCCTGTGCAAGGATGACATGCAAACTCATAGCGTTCCATATCTTTGGTACTGGTGTTGGTGCAGACAGCCCTTCGTCACGGGAACCAGGACCTAGCTGGAAAGGGGGCTGCTCCCTTGCCCAACACGGAACACACGTTCATGGGAAAACTCGGTGCTAAGCCATTTGCAAAAGACCTCCTTCTGGGTCAGGGTTTCTTAAGCCGCAGAATATCTCATTCATTGCAGCCTATTGAGTCAGCCCTCAATACAAGGGTTTGTTTAAAAAAAAAAAAGAATTACAAATACAGCAAATGATAATTAAATTACTTTAGGATGGCAAGACCATTTTTCCCTTGAAATTTTCTACGTTTCTAGCAATATGGTAATACTTTTATTAGAAAGTGGTAGTTTGGTTTTGTATAACACAATGATTTATAAAGAGAATTTGAATCTAGTCCCTAAACTGGTCATTCAGCATCAATTTGTATTTTACTTATATTCTTTTTGTAAGTTGCCTGAGGGTATATGTACTTGCCAGAGACAAAGAGACAGAGAGAGAGAGAGGGAGAGGGAGAAGAAAGCAGCCCAATGGGGTGTGGTCACGCTGTAATCCCTTCTCCATTTCCTCCTGTTAGGATTTTGGGCATTTATGCTCAACATGTTTTTCAAGCCAGCAGGGCTGGGATTTGAACTATAGTCAGTCATGTAGAATCTAGCTCCCTTAACTATTGGGCTAAGGGACTGGCCTGATTAGTACCTTATTTCTTGTGTCGATCCTCTCTGATTCTGAATGACGTCCTTCTCCACGGAGATGGAAACCTAAAGACAGTAACGTCATTAATTGAGGTTAAATGCAAGGGGGTGTTTCTTAAACTGAGGTTAAATGCATGGTTCCAGTGTTTGCCCACAGGAATGGGTGCTCAGGAGAAATGTGAATTCTCTCAAAACACACCCCCCCCAAATGCTATTCCCTATGGACTGCTTTTGCATAATTTTGCCTTTGTCTGTGGTTCCCTAAAAATGCTACCCCAGAGTTCTGTGAATGCCATGAGTACTGTTGATAAATGATTATGACATCTGTCTTATTACCCATAGTTTTAAGTCACTGAATAAAACCGTGAGATTGTCATCCATTTAAGGTGACATTTGATTTCAAGAGTAGATCAATACAAATGATAGGAATCACTAAGCATGCAAACTTAGCATAGTGCCTGAATCGGAATAAATCAGGGCTTTCCACTATCCCTTTTGGGGAAAACATAAATCCTTTTCAGCACCTGCCACCTTTTCTTCAAGCACATCTATCTATTTCAGACCAGCTCTTTGAAACAGTAAATAGCTGCCCTTTTAACACAGGAAGAGCTTGTTTAGTCACCTAGCGGTTGTCATGGAGAAGGCACTCGGAGTTTCCATTAATAGCTGAGACCGAACCAGCTGTGCTAGAGAGAAATAGTCACTCCCAGGGCTTCCAAAGCCTGTGTTTATGCAGAACTTCATGGTAGTCCTCCATCTCCGAGTAGTTAGTGCCCACTGTAGGTGGTATATAGAGAAGAGGAAAGGGATGGAAGAAACAAGTTAAAATATGGTTCGGGACTTCTCGCTTGGTAGTTAAGCAGAAATCTTCAAGAGTTGAGTTAGCTGTGTGATATGCGGAGGGGGGAATTGAGGCAGAGAGGACAGCAAGCACAGATGCTGTGAGCTGGGAGCAAGCTCGGTGCAGCTGAAGCCTAAAGATGTGAGGAGAGAAGGAGATGAGAGAGAGGCCATAGCAGGAAGGGGAGGTAGGAGGTTGGGTGTGTGGGGACCGAGTGCATAGGGGTTTTTATTTTTTGTTTGTAAGCCAGAGGGTGTGCACTTGCCAGAGAGAGAGAAAGAGGGAGAAAGCATTCCCCAAGGAGGCATGGCCACACTACAATCTCTTCTCCATTCTGCATCCTGTCAGGATTTTGGACACATGCACCTGCCATATTTTTCTTTTTCATTTCTTAAAAAGTATGCTATAAGGTGCATGTACTCACCAGAAACATGCATGCACACACACACACACACACACACACACGGAGAATGAGAAAGCATCCCCTGGGGGAGATGACCATGGCACAATCCCTTCTCCTTCTGGGATTTTGGATACACATGCACACATGCCTCGTGTGTTTTTCAAACTGCTGGATCCAGGAAGTGAACTGTGCAGTTAGCCATGTAGATTCTGGCTTTTTTAACCACAGGCTGTGGGACCAGCCCAAAGCATAGGGTCTTTAGTCCTATGAGGCTTTGACTTTTCTCTGAGTATAAATCTGAAACCACCAGAGGCTTTGGGTAGAGTTCTATGGCCAGACTATTTTTTTTTTTTTCCCAGGGCTCGACTCACGGTCAACCACATGGGAGTCCAGTGACGTGGGCATTACGTCAACTGCTGGTCCCGCCAGGTTACTTTTTTTTTTTTTTGAGAGGTTTTTGCTATAGGGTGCATGTGCTCACCAGACAGACAGACAGAGAGACAGAAAGCGAGAAATCACCTCCTAGGGGGGACAGGATCTTGACAATCTCTTTTCCTCCATTCTCCTCTCAGGATCTTGGGCACGCACGCACACGCGCCTGGCCTGAGTTTTAAGCCACTGGATCTGGGACGTGAACTGCGGTCGACTACGTGGGAGTCCAGCGACATAGCCATTACGCTAACTACTGGTCCCTGCCAGATTACTTTTTAAAATGGGCACTGAGTGCCGTGTAAAAATTATATCTGAGGGAAGGAGGAGCGGAATCAGGGAGGTTAGTTAGAAGGCTACTCTAATGATCCAGGTGAGCTGTAGTAGCATGTTATCATAGAAGTGATGAGATGTGATCAGATTTTTTATATATTTTACAGTTAAAGTTGATAGAATTTACTGGAGGATTAAAGGTAGGAGTGTAAAAAATGAGAAGAGTCAGTGGGAGTCAGGTGATGGCGAGGCAGTCCATTTGATACTCTGTAAGGCTGACCCACAGGGAAAGGTTCTGGGTTCACATCCAGAGACCTGTCTGAGTGCTCAGGCACCTTGTGTTCCCGTAATCTGGAATTGGCTGGGGCTGGGGGGTTAATCGCAGCATTGAGATCCTGTTGAAGGTGCTCTCTCTTTCTCCCTCTCACTTAAGGAAGACATGAATAAATAAACTTAACATAAAAGAAGACTAACCAAAATGTTTGCCTTTTTGGCCTGAGTAACTGGAAGATAGTATGAATTTCTGAAGTTTTCTCCTAACTCAGCTTCTGCTTCTACCCTTGGACCCTTCCCAGTTGTTCTTCACAAGAAAGACAGAGTTAAGTGTTAAACATTTAAATCAGAGGACCAGTAGTTGGCCTAATGGCTATGTTGCTGGACTCTCACATAGTTGACCGTGGTTTGAGTCCTGGACCCGGTGGCTTAAACTCACACTGGGCGCTTGTGTGTGTGTACCCAAAATCCTGAGAGGAGAATGGAGGAAAAGGGATTGTGGTGTGACCATCCCCCCTGTGGGGTGATTTCTTGCTTTCTGTCTCTCTGTCTCTCTCTTTCTGGCGAGTATACACATGCTCCATAGCAAAAACCTCTCAAAAAAAAAAAAAAAAAAAAAGGAATCGGGGTCTTCCCATTGCACACTGAAATAGCCCTTGTTGCCTTCCCTACCAGAAACCATGTCTCCTGCGCCCTCCCCCTTGCTCTGTTCCACCCCGTGGTGGTTCGTCACTCTGGTGGTCCGTCACTCTGGTCTCCCACTTGGGCAGGCTGCTATTTCCCTCCTAGTGTAACCCATCCTCCTGTTCAGGCCTGGGCTCTAAAGTCACCTTCTCAGAAACCTGGTGGCTACCTGTTCTGTCCAAGTAGACCCCCATTCTCTCTCACAGTGCCCTTTGGTGGTTTTTAGCTCCATACCATTTTGTGGTACTATCGATGTTCAGTTACTTGCTTGCTGTCTCTCTCCCCACTGGAACGTGAGCTCCGTGAGGCTGGATCTGTTTTATTCATGGTATATACCTAGACCATAGCAAGCACTCAGGAAGCATTTGAGGAGTGAGTGTACAATGTCATGGGGAAATAAGTGCATCTGGTGGCAGTAAGTATGTGAATCCTCATTTGATCTGTCAAGACTTTTTCCATTTCAGTTCTATATTTTTTAAAAAATCTACCTAAAAGTTCTCTTCATGATCTCAGGGATACGTGCTCCGCAAAGACGCCTGTTGACCTAGAATTGACTGTGACTGTGGCTAAAGTGGTCAAGGTCTATGCCAGTTGTACCTTGTGTATCAAAAACAGGAAGGATGCTAGAGACTGTAAGCGGGGAGGTGGAAAGGGGGTGGTGGAGGGTGGGAGTGAGGTGCAAGGCAAGGAAATATTTGACAGATGGAAAAATGTGAAGTTCTCTGATGAAAAATATACATAATAATTGTATACATCATGATGGGACTTTATGTAAAATATGAAATTAATCTGACAATTTTTTAAAAATAAGAAAATTGGAGCCAGCAGGTGGTGTGGTGGTTAAGGTGCTGGACTCCCACATGGAAGACTGTGGTTCAAGTCCCAGACCCTGTGACTTGAAAATCATACCTTGCACGTGTGCATATATTCCCAAAATCTCAAGAAGAGAGTGGAGGAGCAGGGATTTTGTCGTGGCCATCCTTCCTGGGGCATGATTTCTCACTTTTCCTCTCACTGTCTCTCCTGTTATTCTCTGGCCAGCATACACACCCTGTGGCTGAAACCTTAGGGGGCTGTGGGGGAGGGGGCAAGGAGGAAGCAAGAGGGACTCCTTAGAGTTCCGCAACTAGCCACCAGAGGGCCCACTAGGCTAGAAGGTTAATGTAGAAGATTCCTGAAATCTGGAAGCCAGGCTCCTGGTTGTTAATAGCTCTCAGTGGTCACTGGTGAGGAAACATTTGCCAAAACATTCAGAGAGGATTGGGGGTTATGTTTTACTTCTCTATGGGCACCTTTAAAGTCGTGTGATGAGCCAGCTGAATGCTGTGTACTGCTCTGCAGACTGGAACCGCATGGGAGGCCCTGTTTCCCTGGAGTCTCTAGTTTGCACATGTCATCCCAGGGACTTG